GTCCTGTCTCTGGTCCTGTCTCTGGTCCTGGTTCAGGTCCTGTCTCTGGTCCTGGTTCAGGTCCTGTCTCTGGTCCTGGTTCAGGTCCTGTCTCAGGTCCTGTCTCAGGTTCTGGTTCAGGTCCTGTCTCTGGTCCTGGTTCAGGTCCTGTCTCAGGTCCTGTCTCTGGTCCTGGTTCAGGTCTTCTCATCATGCTCCCTCCTGTGTCTGCAGAAAAGCCCCGTGTTGTGCATCGGAGAGGAACAGCCCAAGAACTGCTTCACTGAGCTGCAGGTGCTGAAAGGACATTTTGACATCGTTCGATTCCTGGTGCAGATTGATGACTTCAGGTAGGCCCCCCCCCCCAACCCCCCTAACCCCCCACCCCCCGTGGTTTGTCTAACCCTGGCTGGCCTCCGCCCCTCTGACTGACAGGAGACCCTCACCTGCAGTGAACTCACAGAGCGTGACCACCAGCAGCGTGAGATTGTTGCTCAGAGCAAATCCTCTTAATGCTGCCAGCTCACGTGCACACAGGCTCTGTGGCAGCTCACGTGCACAAAGGCTCTGCACCTGAGCTGCTGCTGCATGCTACAGTGGCTCAGCACAAGTCCTCAGACTGGATTTAGAAGAGACTGAGGTGGGGGCCGCTCCACGCCTCCCTCCCAGACCTCGTCCGCAGTCGGGGCCGAGGGGCAGAAAATTCCCTCCAGATTGATTCTGAAGTCGGAGAAATGTGTCGTGGACAGTTCGTGTCCTCGTTTAATCTCAGTTTCATCTGCTCATCCTGTGTGTCGGTGCTGGGAACAGTCAGGGTGGGGGGCAGGAGGTGAGGTGGAGACGATCGTGTGTGAAATAATCCACAGGGTTCCTGCACAATCTTGAAAAGCATTTAATTTGACTGTTTTACATCAGTATGGAAATATAATAAACAGATTCTGATGAGATGATTAAAGTCTGAGCATTCCTGAAGGAACGCACCCGCCATGTTCATTCAACCTTTATTTATACAAGTTAATCCCGCTGATTCATTCATTCAGCCTTTATTTATACAAGTTAATCCCACTGATTCATTCATTCAGCCTTTATTTATACAAGTTAATCCCACTGATTCATTCATTCAGCCTTTATTTATACAAGTTAATCCCGCTGAT